GACACCCGAGGCCATCAAGCTAATGACAGAGACATAATGAGCTTAAAAACTGTACATGAATCCAGCCCCAAACTGGGACAAGGACCAAGGCTGATAGTCAGGCTTGGATCTATAAGTAATGTCTGTCTCCACAGACAGTAACTAGGTACTGGGTTTAAGGCCTTCCTCCCTAACAAGTATTTACAGTCCAAATACTGAGTAGACAACTGAAAGAAAATTCATCTTCAGTCTAGCTCCAAGAGGACAGCTACTCATGTGTGAAATGTGAGGAGCCTGTCACAAACCTGCCTGAACGAAAGCCCCACATAAAGATGGGCGAAGGGTATGAGACGGCTCGACTGAAATCCACACTCAGATAAAGTCAGACAAAAGACCACTTTAGATTTTGGATGTTCTATCTTGGCTCCTTAAAGATTTTCTTTGTTTTAACTAAACTGCAATTTATGTTGATTCCATCTATCTTTTTGAGAAAACTTACTTCTCACACCACCCTCCTGAGTGGATGAGGCTGGGGCACTTTTCCATCCTGTAAAAAGGTCCCTAGAAGACATTTCTCCCAGGCCTGACGTCAGCACTTCCTCTTCCAAGCCAATGGGTTCGTTCCTACCCCTTGGACACCATGAATTTTTAAGCTGATTTTGTGTTGCTAGGAAGACACTTTCACAGCTGTGAAGGGAGAGCAGTCTGAATAATCCTGGAAGTTCATTCTCTTCTTCCTCCCAGAGAGCAGACCCAGCAGATTTGAGTTGAGTGATCGAAGCTCAGGCGGGTCCCAGCGGCTGAGCTCCCGAGGCTGGGCCTCTCTGACCAGGCCGCCTCCTCCACCAGGACTTCCAGTTACCGCACAGCCACGTAGTGAGACGAGTGTCCATTCAATCCCATAAAAGGTCCAGCCTTACAGGGCAGGGTTCCTCTCTACTGAAATCTTGGCCACAGTGCGCTCAGTCCACCTCTGACAAACTGAAGCTGCAGAATAATGAGAACCTGGGGAAATTTGTGCTCTGCTATGTCTCTGCTGTTATTTTTAAACTCCATTCTGCATCTCTCCATGTCACACCGGTGCTGTGTATTTGAGACCTCATTGCTCACATGCAGAAAATATATGGGATTCTAGAATTGCCTTGTTTTTAATTTAATGTTTTGATTTGTTCATATATTTTCATAATTCAAGAATTAAAATATGAAAATAGATACAGTGAAATTTCCCTCCCATTCCTATCACCCATTAACTTAGACCCCTGAAAAGAAATCACTGTAACTAGTTTGTTATCTGACCCTCCAGAGTTTTTTATGTATATACACATACAAATATATTTTTGCTTTTTCCATGTTTTTCACACACATGTTGTTGGAATGTTGTAAACATTATTATTCTGAACTTTAGTTTTTTTTATTAAAAGTGGTTTTGGAGAGTTTTTCTTATTATATATAAAAAATCCTCATTCTTTTTTAGGGTTTTATAATAGCACATTAACAAGCCATAATTTAATTAACTACTTCTCCACTGAGGGGCATTTATGTTGTACACATTTTCTCCCAATCTGTCATTTGCCTTCTCACTATCTTGAGTTCACAAGTTTTTATCAGATTCTCAGGAAGATGTTAAGAATCACAGTCTTATAGACCTATCCATACCCAAACTAAGTATACATCTCTAAAATGCCAATAAGTGTAAATCACTCTAAGTCCAATAAGTAAAGAGGGTCTCACAGCCTCTCAGACACTGGGGGCTACATCTAGAAGTATATACCTTTTATGTCTATGACAACATTTGGGTCGTCGTGAAATGGCTTACAGAATGTGGAAGATTGCCCTACGAAGGGAGAAAAAGTTCTTGGATGCAGAAGGAGATGATTTAAAGAGAAATAAAATAATAAAATAAAATAAACTGAATTATATTACAGCAAATAATAATTTTTATAAAGTGACAAAAGTAAAAAATATAAAACAGTACTGCGTTTAATGAGTTCAGGGTTAAGAATATTTTTTAAAGCTTTTTGAAGTGAAGTTAGAAATTCTTAAAGCAACAAAGTTAAGTCAGGTTTATTTTCCCTCAGAAAAAAGGGAAGAATAGCTTAAATTTTTTTATATTCTTGCAGTGATATGTTGATGGTGTCCTGACATTCCACTTCTAAATTTCAAATATACTTTTTTGCCTCTCCAAAAAATTTTGCTGGCTTTAATCATAAGTAAGTCAACATAATGTTGGCTACATTATTCAAACCCTAGTAATTCTAATGGGAGAAAAAAGATTTAATACTTTTTTATTGAAGATGAATATAAATAGAAAGTGAACTTAGAAAGATCTTTGCCTCTAGCAGGTAGAAAGAGACAAACACAGCCTTCAATACACCTTAAATGATTTTTAGATTATTAAATATATATTGAAATACATTGTTTTTGAGACTTCCGGCAAGATGGAGGAATAGGTGGACGCATAGTACCTCCTCGCACAACCAAGATTAGAACAACAATAAAATACAGTCAGCATAACACCCAGAACTGACAGGGGATTCATCTGAATGGAAGTCGGACAGCCAAGAAGTTGAAGTAGACCCGTACATCCAGACTGGTAGGAGACAACGAGCCAAGCGGGCGCGGGGCTGGCGCGGGTCGGCAGCGCACGGAGGTTGGGGGAAATTTGGTGCGGAATCGGCGCGACAGCCATCGGGGCGCAGGAACGCAGCGGTGGACCCTGAGTACGCAAGCTGCGGCTGCTGGACCCAGTGGGGCAGCGATTGTGGACCAGGGCAGAGCTCGCAGCCCAGGAGCCCCGGGGAAAGGTCTGGGCCCAGGAGAATTGAACTGCCGCCATTGATTCCCTGCCCCCGCCCCGCCCCGCCCCGCCCCGCCCCGCCCCGCCCCGCCCCCACATATAACGTCACAATCTAGCGACTGGGGCGCCCAGCCCCGGTGAACACCTAAGGCTCCGCCCCCCACCTTAACAAGAGCGACCAGTGGGGGGGGAAGGAGAGACAGGGAAAGACATAAGACATGAGTGCAACAGAGCAGATCAGTCCCCCAGGACTCATCCTTTTGAGCGACCAAGAAATAGCCAATCTATCAGATGCACAGTTCAAAACGCTGGTGATTAGAAAGCTCACGGAATTGGTTGATTTTGGGCGCAATTTAGATGAAAGGATGCAGGTTACCATAAAAGAGATGCAGGAAGATACGCGGAGGAGAGCCAATAGAGAAAGGAAGGAATCTGAGTCTCAAAACAATACAGTGGACCAGAAGGAAGATAGAATCAACCAAGCAGGAAAGCATGATGAAATAAGAATTTAAAAAAATGGAGGAGAGCCTTGGGAACATCCAGGACACCTTTAAACGTTCCAACATTCGAATTATAGGGGGTACCAGAAGGGGAGGAGCAACAAGTGGAAAAGTTATTTGAACAAATAATAAAGGAGAACTTCCCCAATCTGGCAAAGGAAACAGTCTTCCAAGAAATCCAAGAAGCTCAGAGAGCCCCAAAGAAGTTGGACCCAAGAAGAAACACACCAAGGCACATCATAATTACATTAGCCAAGGTAAAAACGAAGGAGAGAATCCTAGAAGCAGCAAGAGATAAGGGGACAGTAACCTACAAAGGAGTTCCCATCAGACTGTCAGCTGATTTCTCCAAAGAGACCTTACAGGCAAGAAGGGGCTGGAAAGAAATATTCCAAGTCATGAAAGACAAGGACCTACATCCCAGATTGCTCTATCCAGCAAAGCTGTCATTTAGAATGGAAGGGAAGATAAAGTGCTTTTCAGATAAGGTCAAATTAAAGGAGTTCATCATCACCAAGCCTTTATTTTATGAAATGCTAAAGGGACTTATCTAAGAAAAGAAGATAAAGAAAAAGACATGTATAGTAAAAGGACAGCAAACTCACAATTATTAACAATTACACCTAAAGCGAAACCAAAAGAAACTAAGTAAACAACTAGAACAGGAACAGAACCACAGAAATGGAGGGCACATGGAGGGATAGCAACAGGGGGGGGTGGGAGGAGGGGAGTGGGGGGAAAGGTATAGAGAATAAGTAGCATAGAATGTAGGTTGAAAATAGATAGGGGGAGGGCAAGAATAGTACGGGAAAGGTAGAAGCTAAAGAACTCATAAGAATTGCACATGGAAGTGAACTAAAAGGGGGGGAACGTGGGTGGGAGAGGGGGTACAGGGTGGAGGGGAGGGAAGGGGGGAAAAGGGACAAATGTAATAGCATAATCAATAAATTTAAAAAAAAAAAAAGAAATACATTGTTTTCATGCAAGCCCCTCTTCAATATGACCACAACCCAGTTAGAACAATGGTAAGTGGAGCAGAAGTGAAAGGAGGAAGAGAATAGACTTCAGGGTGGACCCACCCCCTACTGCAATACACATTCCCCTTCAGTTAACTCATGATCACCACCACAGATATGAAGGTATGAAAATATCATCAAGAATTCACATTGTTCTTAAACATTTCACCTATATATTAGCAATAATAAGACTATTTGAATAGAAGTTTGCCTAATTTTTTTAATGTATTTTTCTAAGTCTCAATCATCTAGCAGGTATGTACAAATTTGGTCTTTCCTTATACATCATCCATCCCCAATTCTCTTTCCTTTTTAACAAATAGGTGCTCAATTATTATTATACTCATTATTAAGTGATGCGTAGTAAAAATCTATGCCCAGGCACCTGGAATCCAGCTACGCCACCCCCGATCTCACCAAAAAGTACCCACTGGTAAACACAGGAGAATAAACATGTGGCAGTGATACCAGATATCATTGATGATCACAGAACTTATGTCCACAAAGCCAGATGCATCCGTCTTCTCAGCGCAGCCACCAGCAGCCATCAGAAGTAGCACTCATCATGAGACCTATGTGGAATCCTGATTTAAAGCACCGTCATCTTACCAGTACTTGCTGGGAATTTGCTCTCCAGCTCCAAGTCTTCAAAATGAATTCCTAGACCAGCCGAACTCTGTTTAACTCTGCTATGTTTCTTGGTTTCAGATGGTTATACCACCGATGACATTGAGTTTTACTGGAATGGCGGAGAGGGAGCAGTAACGGGAGTCAATAAAATTGAGCTTCCTCAGTTTTCAATTGTCGACTACAAGATGGTGTCCAAGAAGGTGGAGTTCACAACTGGTGAGGATGTTTCCCCCAAAATAAGTCAAGAGCACTGTGAAAGAAAGAAGGTGGTTTCAACCAAATGATAATCTGATTTTTTTTTTCAATTCAGGGTCATATCCACGACTGTCACTGAGCTTTCGTCTAAAGAGAAACATCGGTTACTTCATTTTGCAGACCTACATGCCTTCCACACTGATTACAATTCTGTCCTGGGTGTCTTTTTGGATCAACTATGATGCTTCTGCAGCCAGAGTCGCACTAGGTAATGCATTCTCAGTACTGCAGAAAGCCGGTGGAATTTCTCTTTAAACAAATAACCAATGTTCGGATTTATAAGCAATGGTCTTCTCTCATAGCAAGCTAAGGAACAAGATTAGTATAGAGGACACAGGGACAAAACCAAAGGAGGGTAGGATCAAGGGTGGGAGGTGGGGCTGGCTGGGGTTGGGGGGAGTGTAGGGGGGAATGGAGACAACTATACCTGAACAACAATAAAAAGTGTGGGAAAAAAGAATGCTTGGTAACAAAACATTTAAGTGTAAGCACATACAGAGTGAATGTTTTACATTATAATATTTTTTAGCATTTTACCAAAATTAAAAAAAAACCTTGAAGAATGTTCAATATTATATAAGTGCTTCTTGGAGTATATTTCAAAATCCTTATTCCATTCATTTTTACTGTGTGATGATTTTCTCTTCAGTCCCTGATTTTTACAGTGGAGGACATTTATAATACATCATTATCAAATTGATCTGAAGAAAGCTAGACGTTGTGACTATTAAAAAGCTATGTTGAAAGTTGGGAAATTCTCTCTCTCGAACATTAACTAAAATTAAATCATATTGATCTGAGTCTCCCTTAAGTGGAGCTCGTCGCGCCTGAGGAAGGCACAGACAATTCATCAGCTACATTAATGATCTGTGATCAGCACAGAGTAAAAGTGGTTTCCTTCCTGGGGGAACAAAATTCAGAATTAATCTTGTCATGGCTGAGGAGTTGCGGTGAGCTGGAAGGCTATGTTTGAGACTAAACGGTTCCTTGGAATGTTAGAACATATAAGGTCTGTTTGATGAATTGGGGCATAGGTGGATCGGTCTCATTATTTCATCATACAGCCATTTCAGTTACCACTTTCTGGGGCTTATTCTCACACACACACACACACACACACAAATATGAAACAGCATAATTTCTGGCTAACATACACACCTCTTCTCTTCTGAGATTACTGAACTGGGCTAGATGATCAGCATACCCTCTCATGCCTAGATTAATTATCTTCTCTACAGCTTACTTCTAGTGGCTGAGTGCATAAGGCTCACAAAGTCAAGTACTGGCAATCCCTGATCAACCTCTGAACATTCAAAGACTAGGGAAAGTAACAAAGAGTTTATCATATCATACGCATATATCTGCACATTATTTTAATGTGAACATGCCTATGTGTGTGCTGTGGTTAAGGAAAACTCACTGGTTGAGGTACACTGCAGGGGAATGACAACTATGAAGGTCATAAATTGTGGTTCTCCTTACACATCTAGCCTCAAAGCTATTGATATTTTAATTAGAGGTGTCAGCACATAAGTATGCTGACTTAGCCTGCACTTTGAAATGTAAAACCTGTGATATTTTCACACTTGTGTAAGTACAAAAGGCATTCACTGAGTAACCCATCTTGCATAAAAAATTTAAACCCAGGAGTAAAAGCGGAAATGCAACAAGTGGGTTTGTAAATGAACTGTTTGTTCCTGTCAAGGACATTAGCTAGAATTATATTCGTTGAAATTTAAAATTTTATTCAAAAGTAAGACCACTCATGATGGCATTTCATACCAGTGCAGCACAACTGAATTCATCACCGATCTAAACTATTTTAACTTTGTGTATGATAATCTGGACTTCCTACTGCATCTGTCCCCATAAAAGTTAAAGAGTCAAATCAAGGAATCTATCTGGAATTGCCTGACTAAGCAAATGAGTGCTAGGCTACTTTTTCCCTTTTCATTTTCTACCTTCCATACACTTTGCAAGCTTTCCTCTTTTCTGTATTCTTCATTTCATATGTTCTGTCTTTAAGGACTGCCATCAAGTCTCAAGCTTTGGGCATTCTCTGCTTCTATTTTAAAATATGTTGTTGAACAGCTCCTTGCTTTTCGAGCCCCTAACTGAGTGCTCTGCAGCAAAATAACTAATCTCAGTGTTTCTTTCTGTTCAGATATAAAATGGAAATGACGTACCTGCCCCATCACACTCAGCAAGCAGTTATGACAGCCACATAATTCATAACTGTTTGACACTATAAAACACTATACAAATGTGCAACATTAGTATTACAGCACAAACCATCTACATGAGATTTCCAACTTCTTTTACACTTTTTGTTTTTTCCAATTATCACTTCATTAACACCAAATATTTATTATGCAGCCACACAAATATTATATGGTTAAGAATGCTATGTTTAACAAAGTAGATAATGCGAAATCTTCATTTTAAGGACTTACAACTGTAAACTTCAACAAATCCACGCTGAATTATTTAGGAAGTTTTTCTTGGCTCCAGGGAACTAACTCATTTTCAGTTCAGGGATCAAAAAACTAGAGGTAATATTTGAAAACCCAAAGCAACAACATTTTATTATATCTTAAAATACACAAACCAAATGCTTAATGCAAATCATGAACATTCTTATATGCTTCTTCTTTTAGTGTGATCTCACTATCAATTTATTTTAAAATGTAATACTGACCTTGTGGCTGAGGTGTATTACAGATTCGCGGAATGACGTAGATTTTCTCAAAGTGGTCACCAACTTTCAGCGTGGTAGTGGCTGCTGTGGGGATCCGTATCACAAAGACAACTTAGAAGGGAGATGAGATGCTAAAAGAAGGAAGAGCATAGATGTAGCATATAATAAAATGAGGAGTATTTGACCTCAGACAGTAGGTATATCAATGGGATTTTGATATGCCTTTCCATCTACCTGTCTTTTCTCTTCGTGCATTATTGTTCAATGGTTTTTAACTCTCCATTAACAATGCATTTCATTTTATGATTTGTTCATGAATTTTGTAGGGGGTCTGCAGCTTCATTTTGCAAAATGTCTGCCTTTCTGCCCAGCCAGTGGCTTACTGCATTATTGCCATCATTCTGGGGCCTCAGTATGGGAATAACATCTGTCCTCTCAGTCTTAGAAAGGGCAACTTAACAAGTGCATTCAACTAAGATGTGTCTTTCTGTTTTATAGGAATCACCACAGTGCTGACAATGACAACCATCAGCACGCACCTCAGGGAGACCCTGCCAAAGATCCCTTATGTCAAAGCGATTGATATTTACCTGATGGGTTGCTTTGTGTTTGTGTTCCTGGCTCTGCTGGAATATGCCTTTGTGAATTACATCTTCTTTGGAAAGGGCCCCCAGAAAAAGGGAGCCGGCAAACAGAACCAGAGTGCCAACGAGAAGAACAAACTGGAGATGAATAAAGTCCAGGTAACGTATTAAATGTTCCTAACAAGACTCTTCTGAAATGTATCAGCAGGCTGGTGCTCAAGGCTCCCATAGTAGAGCAGAAAATACATACATATTAGTTTATTTTTAATAAACCTCAAACGACCCTTGATTTTACATATCTGAGAACTGAGGATAGAAAGTAGGTTGAAGTTTACATAGATTAATAACATACCTGGGCCTAAAATTCAGCCTCAAGTTCATTATTCTAAACTATGTAGTAATAAAACAATATGTAAAAGAATAATTCCAGGTCTGCTTGATAAATAAATAAGATCTAAAGTGAATAAACTCTGCACTCTGAAGTGGAAATGAGACAATACAGCTCGGTGATTACAACACCACAGACTGGAATCGACCTCCTTGGATTCAGTCCTCAGCTCTGCCACCTACTGGCTTTACAACTTCTGGCAAATCAACCTGTGTAACTCCTTATCTAATGTCGGTTAGATAATTTATAGATAATGTCAACATCATTATCTATAAATGGAGGGTATTATGGTATACCTACATCACAGAGTTGTTATAAGAATTAAATTAGGTTTCTTTTTTAATTTAGCATTTGAAACAATAGCTGGAACATAGTAAGTACTCAGTAAGTAGTAGCTATAATTATATATTGTACAAGACATTGTTATTCTTTTTATTTTGCTTTTTATTGGTAAGTCTTATGACCTATGCTCTCAGGGGATAGAATTAAATTAAATTAATGCTCTGTTTATTTCCTTTATTTATTTATTTTTGTTGAATTTTTCCCATTATAATGCTGTGTTTATTCTTTTAAAACATCTCTGTACTGTCTACTTCTATGCCACTTTCACTGATTAGTTTAAAATTACATACATTAAAGTACTGCATTCACTACAGATTGTTTTCAAGATGGCACACAGATGGCAACTCAAATATCCATTCATTGAACCACTCTTCCGAGCATCGGGTATACTGCTCTGAATGAGACGAAGTTCCTTGCCCTCGGGGAGCTTAGGTTCTAACATGGGAAGTCAGGCACCGTACACACAAACCAGTGTTAAGAAAATAAATTTCCGTTAAAGGTACGTTCTAGGAAGAAAGTGAAACAGAGTGATGAGGATGAGAATGATTTGGTTCAGGTTCAAGGGAACAGGACACTTGGATCAGGTGATCAGGAAGACCTACCTCTGTGAGGAATTACTGTTTGACGTGAGACCTAAGAGAAAAGAAGCAGCAGCCATGCCATGCCCCATCTAGGCTCTGAGGCAGGAACTGCTTGATATCTTGAAGTACTGAGACATCAGTACTGAGAAGGTCAGTGTGGCAAGAGCACAGTAAGTGAGAAAGAAAACAGACTAGTGTGAGATGTGGCTGGAGAATCAGGCAGAAGCCAAGTCATGAATCTTCCAGGTGTATCTTCATGCTCTTAGCAGGATCTCAAATTCAGACAGACACTGCCAGGTAATTAGAAAATGAGGAGCAAAGGAAACATACAGGCTCTACCACATGGTCAAAATTTGAAGCAATGCATTCAAATAAATTTGACTCTAACTGTGAAACACTATGCTCGATGCTGACAGAGAAGGAGTAGGCATGATACTTGCCCTTGAGAACTCTCTCGTCTTGCTGGGAAATAGTCATATGAGGTGGCTGGATTACAAAATGAGACAGTATGGCATTTATTTTTGGGAACCATATCTGAAAGGAAGAAGCTTCCCACTGTGTGACTGCAACCCTAATAGCTTTCAGAGTATTTTAGCCATAGTTTTCAAGGCCACCTCTTTTGTGTTGTCATGCTCATCTCATTTGCCCTGTCACCCTATTAGCTAGTCTTCCACATCATTCAATGTGTGCCCCCCACATTGTGGGGGCAGACCCTACATAAATAAGGTGATATACTCAAGAGTTCCACTGTTGGAAAAATTCAGAAGATGTGTTCTAGATAGACACACAAATGATAGGTACCATTGGGAAGGTAAAAGGGAGAAAATGGCTTCTCAATTACTAGAAAAGCAATCTTCTAGAGAGAGATAATTAAATGGAAAGGTCAAGCAAACTAAAATCTATTTATTCTAATAAAATAAAAAGGTTGTAAAACAAACTTTAGCCAAGCATTTTGGGCATTTGCCATGACTCCACATGAGGATATGAGGAATTTTCTGAGGTGGTAAGGGAAGAATAGAGGCAGGAAGAAAGCCTCATTTATTATATCATATCTAGATGTATACTATATTTTGCTCTGAAGAGGACTTAGTGACTGGCTAATGAATAATTTAAAAGTTTACATCTAACTGATCTTCATTTCATAAAAAGTTTGTGTGCATAATACTGGGCTTAAACATACTAAGATTTCATTGGACCTCAAACCAGGAAACTTTTATTGCAGAAGAATAGAGTTTTGTTTTGTTTTGTTTTTTAATTTGAAATACAGGAGAAAACAGAAAAATCTCTCAATTGTCAAGAGATGAAATAGTTAAAGAAGAAAAAATGTGTTTTTATCCATGGGAAGCTAGACTAGGAAGTTCACAAACGCTTTTCACAGAAACACAAGTAGACAAAATTATGCCAAAATTCAAAAAAAACATGTTAAGACATGACAGAGTAGCTTGTAGCAGACTAACCCTCCTATAGATTAAAAATTATTAACCTTGAGAAGAATTTTTACACTCTTCTTGTTAGACATGAAAGAGTAACTAAAAACCAAGCAAAAACTGGAGGAAAATCACCCCTCGAATGGAGGGAACTATACTTCGTAAAATCTGTGTTTACGTAATTTTTCCCTGAGGCCACTCCTCAATCTGGGAAATGTAGGACAAGAGAACTTAAAAAAAAACTGTAGATTTTACTTTTATTGGTCTGATGAATCATAGCATGGAGTTCAGTATTTCCAGAATCCCTGAAAGTTTCAGAAAGAAGTGAGCTATAGGAGAAAGTTAGCGTCTGAGTACAAGCTTCCCACGAGTCCCTGGCTGATCCTCGAACTGCAAATGTGCAGGTAAAATGCCAAGAAGTCCAGAAGAGAAAAACAGTTGGAAGGCTGGAAAAGCAATGAACATAATTTTTAGCTGTTATTCACCATATGGAAGTCAGAGTTCAGAGTTTGAATCCAGCCATTTGGGGCCAGTTGGTAAATGAATTAAGTTTTTCATAAAAACCCTAAAAGCATCACACCTCAGGAGTAAAAACTAGGTCACAAGAACAAGGGATTTCCCTTGGGTTAAGGGGGAAATATAGATTCACCCTAACAACAAAAATCCAAGTCTCTACACATTCTAAGTTATCTGTTAGTAATTTAACTGCCCGTTAAAACATTTTTCAGGGAAGATAACAGAATCCAGAGTCTCCATAATGTATCACCAACATATCTAGTCTATAATAAATTACTAAACATGAGAAGAAACAGGAAAATATGCCCATAGTCAAGAGAAAGAAAAAAAATAGTCAGCAAAAACAAACCTGCAAAAAGTCTTAGATGTTGCTTTAAAAGGTAAGGATTATCAATAATCACAATAACAACTATAATGATTATATTTAAAAGTTCACAAAAAATAGCCCACAGCTGGAAACAACCAAAGTATCTTCTAACTGGTAAATGATTAAACAAACTGCAATGCATCCACACCATGAAATACTAGTCCAACAAAAAGTAATGAACTGTGGATACATGCAACAACTTGGATGGCTCTCAAGGGCATTATGCTGAATATAAAACGCCAATCATAAAAGAGTACATACTGCATGATGCTATCTATATAACACTCCTGAAATCAAATTTTAGAGATGAGAACAAATTGGCGGTTTCCAGGATTTAGCAGTGGGGGGCAGAGGGGAGTGGGGCACAGGTGTGATTGACCCTAAAGGGGTGAAAGCATGAGGGAGAGCTTTGCCGTGGTGGAATAGTTCTGTATCTTGATTGCAGTGGCAGTTACGTGAATCTATACATCAATAAAATTAAACAGGTCTGTACATACTCTATACCATTGTCAGTTTTCTGGTTCGGCTATCATACAATAGTTAAATACAACATAATTAATGGGAGAAACTAGGGGAAGAGAACATGGAACCTCTCTGCTATCTTTGAAACTTCTTTGGAATCTACAGTCATTAAAATAAAGACCAAAGGAAAGTATTTTAAAAATGCTTGAAGAGATAGCAAGTCTCGGGGCAAGGGCGCAGAAAGTATAAGAAAGAACCAGTGGAAATCATAGAATCAAAAAATTATTAGGTGGATTAGAACCATTTTTTATACAGCGAAGGATCAGTGAAATTGAAGACAATGTTGGCCTTCTCTTGATCTTTCCATTGTATCAACTCTCAGCATGCATGCAATGGCCTCCAGGGACGCCTTCACTGACCCCTCTGTCGGCTTATGTCTGGGGGCCTCGTTGTTTGTTTTCACTCTACCTTGTGCTCTCCTTCCATACCACTGACCGCAAGTGGGAGTACATTTATTTCTCTAATTATTTTTTAATGTCTGTCTCTTAGAGTTCAGGCTTCCCAAGAGTTGGCACTCTACTATGTTTATTGGTCTTTCCTCAGTGACTAGAACAGAGAAAATACCAAACAAGTTCCTGTTGAATGCATAAATGCCAGAGGGGCCTCCATTCAAGATGAGTTCTTAGATAACACACAAGGTGTTGAGTGTTACCTATGTTTTATAAAATCCTTATTCATCATAGTAAGAAAAAGAGATATGGCTCACTTTAGTTCTGCCCCTGACTTTCTCGCTCTTTCTGTCACTTTGATTCTTAACGTTCCTTGAAATATATTTCGTATGGACCTCTGCTAGTCTTTGTGAATCACAGTGTCATAGGACTTCAGATAGATATACTCTTCAAAGGAGTGTTACCACTAAGGTTGTATAAACTTCTTCACATTTATATGAAACAAATACTACAGTGTTACCATCTCAGGCAACATAATCATCCCTGCAGCTGCTTAGGTTTTCCAGATCCTATCGTCCTTATCCCCTTCTGAAACTAGGGGTGCAGACAGACAATGTGTCAATAATA